AGCCCCCCACCCAATGTGCTGTCATGCAGCGCATTATGATTAAGGGGCGCGTCTTCCAGCAGCCCACCAGCGAGCCGTTGGGCGACGACTGGGGGCAGGAGCTGCGCATGCTTACCCGCGTGCGGCAGACCAGTGCCACAGCCATCAAACAAGTGGTTACCAATGCCGACGACACCACAGCAGCAACACGCGCCGACCTGAACTACGTCGGCCGCACAGTGGCAGATCTGCCAGAGGGGGAGGAGAAGCAGGCTCTGTGCCAAGCCGTGAAAGACCTGCGGAGCAAGGCGGAGGAGATGCGCCAGGCGGCACGCTTGGAGCCCACCAAGGTGCGAGCCGGCAAGCAAGCGCGGAGGAAGCAGGGACGCAATGAGCAGGACAGGCTCACCCGCGCGCTGCTGACCCGCAAGCACAAGAGCAGCTTGCCCCTGGCACAGCAGACGGCGGCAGCAGAGCGCAGCGACCCCTTGCCCACCCTTCGCCAGAAGGACAAGTCGGCAATGAAGGTGAGGGGCTGGGAAGTCGAATGGCGGCAACATCGTGGCTGTGGCGGAGGTCCCGCCCTTGTGCAAACATGCTGCATACTTGCCTGTCCGTGCAGATGCGTGGTCCCACGGTGCCTGGTAATCGAAATGGTACCACACTCCGCAACAACGGCTCGCATCATCGGGTGCAGAAGAAGCGCCGCACAGAGGCGGCAGTGGGGGCGGCGGTGTAGCGGCGGCCACTGCTGCGCATCGAAGGCAACAATTCAGCGTTCGCTGAAGCGCAGACACCTGCTAGGGAGGCTCCGGCAGAGCTGGCGGCTCAGCAAGCATTCCAGGCTTCAAGTATGTGGCGTTGTCAGGGCGCCTGCTCACTTCACATCACCCAGTACGCACCTGGTAACATTTTGGGAAGCGTGCACGCAAGGAGAGAGGGTGAAAGAGGCTGGGCCAACCATCACCCCTTGCTGGGACGCTCAGGTGCGCGCCATTGGCGCTGGTGGCACCATAAAGGCACGAGGAAATGTATGTAGGCCACGGGAGAGGGCGGGAGGGATGTGGAAGAGGCGAGCACAGGGCTCCGCAATTGCCAATTGCTTGTGTGAGCCCCTTGGGCGCCCCACAGAGCGTCGAATGAACCCATTGTGAGTGCTGGGGGGTGGGGTATGAGAGCCGCAAGCGGGCATGCATGCATCTGGCCACCTGGGCCTTACTGAGGCCAGGGTGGAAGGGGCCGTGGTGCGCCTGGCGGTGGGCATGGGTACACGTGGCAGAGGTGCGCTGCACCTTGCTTTTTTGCTTGCTTGTGTGGGCTTAAAGTCTGGTAAAGCAAGAACTAGCTTGCAACATAGACTCCCCGCCGAAACGGGACGGGAACCGGGCGAAAGCAGAGAAAGCAATAAAACAGGGGTGGAGCAAGGCGACATGCAACGCAAGCAGCTGACACGGCACGCACCACGGCCCCTTCCACCACGGCCCCTTCCAGGGCTCGCCAGGTGGCACCTGGCGCCGATTCCAGCTGTGAGTGAGGCCGACGCGTGTCCTTGAACAGCAGAAAATAGAGCTGTGCGCACTCATTTGCAGACACCCCCGAGCCCGCAAGTGGCGTTGTTCAGGCAACATTGCCCCAGGACGTGGCAGAATGGCTCGATGGAGCAAAAGCCTTCTGCTAGCTGCCTTCGTGTGCCTTGCCAGGTGCGGCTGCCTGCCTACAAGCCCGGATGCGCTAGCTCATCATGTGTTGGGACTCAGTTTGGTGAACCCTCTTGCTGGCAACCCCTTTGCACGAGTCTGCTCCAGTAATGCTGGGTGGCATTTGTTTTGCACACGCGATTTCTCGCACACCCCTGCTTGTGCAGGGTTAACATCTGCTTGAGCTCAACTCTGGGACCAGTTGCACCCCAGGTTGTTGTTGTGACTACAAATGGCCACCAGTGAAGTCCCCTTGGTCGCTGAACTGCAGACTGTCACTGCAGGGCACTTGGGTTCTCATCCCTCCCCCGGACAAGAGGACGGAGTTTCTGGAGTTGTACCAGGCCTATGACATACGCAAGGAACAGCAGGACCTGAAGATTTTTAAGCTTCTTCGCTCTCCGATCTGGTTTGGTCACATGGCGTACCCCGACACAGAAGAGTGAGCGTGCGCTTCACCAGCAGTGCACCACTAGTGGAGCAGGCCAATACCTGCACTTCAGAGGCGACTTCAGCTCTTCCACTATCACCACCTCATTCGCTTACCCGTTCCCTCGAGCCTCCCTCATTGCAGGTCCACCTTGTAAGCTTCATCCTTGTTGTGGCGTGTGGCCAGTTCAAATGTTTTCCGACCGAGTCTAGAAATTCACAAATGAGCTTCTGTGTTGGCACCTCTGATCTGTACTGTTGCAGGACCGCCACCCCGGTGAGGTTGTATTACTTTCCGGAGGGCTCCAACCTAGTAGCTCCGCCTGTAAGTTGGGAGCTGTATTGGAGGCGCGGGTGAGTTTGCCACTATGGTCAGCGTTGCAGTCTCTGTTCCTATGGCAATCAGCTAAGAAGAGTAGTTGCACCTGCAATCAACCACATGACATGTTGTCCCTTGTTGTTGCATAGTGTACTTATTGCAATTGGAATTTCAGTGCAGGCCGACAGCGTGGGCTAAAACTACAGAATATTCAGTGTGGTGCCCCGAAGCACCGTGTGGCTATGTGGCCTTGGGTTGTTTTTTCCATTAAAATGATGATCCACCGACGCAAGATGACGTCAAAGGTTTCATGACACTGAGGAACGATCTGGTCATCTCCATCGGCGAAAACCAGAACGCACCACAAAAGATGTGGGATGATAGAGGATCTGGTGAGTTGTTGTAGTGACGTTGTGATCTCTAGGTGTGCCGGTTTTTTTCCTCGTGACTGGTGCGCGATGCAACACATATCACTTCTGGTTTCTATGATCAATCGACATGTTGTGCATTCATGGCTGCAGGTGCCGATACCGATGTCAGCCTCTGGCGTTTAAACGAACCTTGGGACCATGGCAAACCTTCAACTCATTTCTACAGCCCAGGCACCATGGTTGCCAGCAAAAACTACAATGAGCCGGACCCTTCCCGCATGTTTCTGATTGACGCATCCAAGGTGCCTATGGTGCCACTGAAATCCCTCGTGATTCAGCCAACACCTGTCTGATCGTTCAGAGGGGATAAACAGTTAGTCTGCCTACTATGATCGAGACGCCCGCCAAAGACAAACTGGTTGCCTGCTTGTTTGTGTCTACATTATGTGTGTCCTTTTTTGGTTACTACAAGTGTTGAGCCGTGACACGATCCGCAGCACCTCCACCAATTGCCCTGTGGTTGTCATCAGCTCGTCCTCCAGCCCACTGTTTGCCTCCTCCTCATCCTCTGCCATGGTTCTACAACCAAAGACCACAAAAAACAGACCTGCAAGGCAGTCAGAAGCGGGATAGGGACCAGCAGGGGAGGTCAGCGGGCTGCGGAGCTCCTAAGAAGGCTGGACAACGCGCCTTCCTGCAGGAAGGCTGGACCTAGGAAGGCTTTAGGGGTGAGCTGCAAGCGGCGGCGCCGCCGCCGCGCCACTGGAGCTCACACCGCGCCGCACCGCCTGCACCTCCCAGCCGCCGCCGCAGCAGCCTCCTCGCCGCCGCCGCCGCCCTCCGCGGCGGTCTTCAGGCTGCGCAGGTATCCGCCCAACGCGCGTAGCACGGGCCCCTCCCCCGCCGCTATCTCGCCCGACACTTCCGCCTCCCAGGCGCCCCCGCCGGCCATTAGCGCATCTGTAGTAGTTGAGGTGTCCAGGCCTTGTGAGCACGTTTCCTGGCCCCCCACATTGAGTTCCACCTCCACTTTGTGACTAGCACCTATCGGCGTCGGTGTGGGCGTGTGTGGCGGCGGTGTGTCGGAGGTCGGGCGGCGGTCGGCGAGATGGCGCTTTGTGTGTTGTGGGCCCCTGTGGTGCCAGTGGATGTTCTGGTCCCCTGTTGTGGATTGTCAGAGTTGGATGGCTGTGATTTCAGAGGTGTTGTATAGAGGTGTGTTGTGTAGAGGTGCGGTGCGTCGTCGGGCGTCGGTGGATTGACGAGGGAGTGCGTTCTGATTGGGTGTGGAGGTGTGGTTGTGTTGTGTGATGTGGAGACTGTCGGTCTGGAGGTCAATTTGGGAGGCTGCAAGGGATGGGAGGGAGTGGTAGAGGTGGTTTCTGCTGGGGAGAGGAGGGGGCAGGGCTGCCTGGAAGCTAGACGGTACCTGTACGTCGAATGTACGGTACTGCATGGTACTGATGGAACCACCTCATCGACACATGCAGGGTCATCGAAATACCCCTCGTCAAACATGCCTGGCACCACTTCCTGCAAAACTGCTAGCAGGCAGGGGTGGTCATCCTCGAACTGAAACTCCATACAGGCGTCGATCAGACAAACGTGCTGATTGTCACATTGCATTCTTCACACAAAGTTCTGCCAGCCACCCTTTCAAGGGCTCGAATTGGCTTCGTAGAGCATGTTTCAGGGCATGTGCACCTGGCCAACTGGCACCTTCGATGACCTGCTGAACCTGCAACGAAGCTGTGACGTGCTGACGTGGAATCTCCTGTCAGCACCGATGGTCTTTGGATCCTCGCACTCATACCTACCAGCCAAACTTTCAACAGCACAAATTGAATGCATACACACCACTTAGCACACTGTGCACACTTTGATGCACGTCGACGCCAACGCAAACAACCCGACGCGAGAGGCGCCCTTCTTGCCAAGCACCTCAGGAGCCCCACAAACCACTCCAACTCACCCACACACCATGTGTGAGGATGTGGGAAGGACGGCTGATGTTCGTTCAAAGTACACTGAGCAGACCTGCCACCACATGGCCTCCATCTGCGGCAGGGGCGGGAGCGGCGGCGGCATGTGTCGGCTGCAGGTCCGCACCAGCCGGGGCTGCCCAATCGATGGCGCATGGCGTGTGCAACTGTCTGACAACGGCGGGCAGGATTGCAGGGCCCTCTAGGCGCCGGCCAAGCGCACTACACCAGCGAGGTACACTGCCCGGACTGTCTGGCCCGCGCCAGCACCAACGGCAGCACAATCCCTGACCTTTGCACTCTCCTCCAGCGATCCAAGCCCTCTCCCTGCTTGCCAGCGTTCTACAGGCAGCCTTCCGGAACGGCGCTGGGGCAGAGCTTGGTGAAGCACAGGCGCTGCGCCAGCAACTTGGGGCAGCTGTCAGGAGCCTGATACAAGCGGCAGCAGCAAGCGGCGGGCCCGATCGCCGCCAATCTGCTCGCCGTGCTCCACAAACGGCTAGCAGCCTGCATCGCCTTCAAAACGACAGCTGCCACACCCCCTGAAGCCAGTGGCACGCGCCGTAACAACCGCCGTCGCCGGCCAGGTGGGGGTCCCTGCTGCCGCCGCCGCTGCCGCCAGCCTGCGCTGCCGCCGCGACAGATGCCTGGACTGGCTTGCACCTGCCTGCACCACTGCCCATGCACTCTGTGGGGGCAGGAGGCCAGTGTGATGGCTGCAGAAGGGGTGCTCTTTCACATGCATTGCTGTTGCACATGGATGGGGTGGGCCCGGCGCCGCCCCGCTCGCGCACCGACCCGCGCGGCGCGCGCGAGTGGTCTGCTGCAGCCTCTGCTGTCTGCTGCTGCACACATATGCTCCCTGGAACTACTTCTTGCTGCTGGAATGGGCTGGGAGGTGCAGTCATGCAGGGACAGGGGTGCCTGGCACCTTTGCGGCGGCGGTGGCGCGCGACGCCACCGCGTCATCGCGCGCCGCTGTCACACCACAGCTGGGACAGCCCTGCTCAGCCACCCTACCACACACCCTCTCCCTGCTGCAGTGCTGAAGCAATGGCAGCTGGTCAGCAGGATGCCCCATCACAAAGTTCTGGTGAGCAAACATGCATGAGGTGGGGAAGCGCGCCGCGTGCGCCGAGTCGCCCGACGCGGCGAATGCACACCACCAGTCAGCCAGTCACTGCCCACCACTTGCATGCCCAGTTTGTGAACCAGCACCAGTCACTGCTCTCCCCACATGCCCACAAAGGCTGGGGCTCAATGTTGTCTGTGGGGGGGCAATTGTCCAAGGATGCTAAGCCCCTAAATCGGGTCTCCCCGGGGACAGTGCGGACAGGCGCCTGCGCAGCCCTATGCCGGTCCCGCCAGAGAGTTCACCGCCCCTTCCTCCTCCCCCTGCCCTGCACAATATAAAGATCAATCAATCAAGGGTACTGTGTTACTGTGGGCTCACGGCGTCCCGCGCCTTCTTGCGGCATGCAGCCGCCAGGGCTGCCAGCTCGGTGTTGCTCTGCTGGAAGAATGCGCTGAGGGGGACGGACGCCGGCGGCAGGCCCAGGAACTCGTGGAACAGCTCCGGCCAGCGCTCGCGCTCGGCGGCATACAGGGGGCACACAAACAGGATGTGTCGGGTGTCCTCAATGCCGCCAGGGCCATCCAGGGCGGGGCAGTGCGGGCACACGCGCTGCTCGCGGGGCGTGCCAGTGCGTCGCCCCTGCTCCTCCGCCCCCCAGTGCATGCCTGTGCGCAGCTCGGTCAGGCCGCGGCGGCAGCGCCGCTCACGCACCTCCGTGACATACGGTGGGCGGCCATAGCCATCCAGGCTACAACACTCCGGGCGCACATCGCAGAAGTAGTGGCGCAGCCGGGTGTGGGCGGGCGTCTCTTGCGTCACACGCGCCAGGTGGAGCCGCAAGGTTGCCTGCTGCGCGCTGTCCGGGCTGATCTTGTCCATGTGGAGCGGCTCAAACGTCAGGCCCACAGCCCGGAGGCTGTGCGCCAGCTGGGCGGCCCAAGGCTGACGCTGTGGCGGCACGTCTGCGCAATCTACTGCCACCGCTGCCGCTGCCTGCACGAACAGCCGCGGCATGCTGCCCTCAGGGGCGGTCACCAAGCTGTTCCACAGGCGGGCTGCCTGCCGCAGCCAGCGGGCATGGAGCGGCGGCTGGCCTGCCTCTGCCAGGATAGTGGCGGCGGGGGTGCTGCGCGGCAGCGCCAGAAGGCGCCTCAGGAACCGCAGGTGCTGCAGCTCGGGCTCCGACAACGGGGTGCTGCGTCCAGCGCCGCCGCTCACAACAGGGCGTGCCGCCGCAGCCATCGCCAGCCCAGGGGCTTGAGTGGGCGTATGATGTGGGCCAGCTTGAGTGGGCGTATGATGCCATCGCACTCCGATCACTATCGAGGACGCCAACGTTCTCACATCAGCCTGACCGACTGACTGATGCGCTCAGCGTAACAGCCACACGGTGCCATACAGGAGAGGGGTTGTGGCAAAGTCTGATAGATGCATTGCAAAATGCACTCAACAAGCCATAAGAGCTGGTATTGTACACAGGTCAGAAGCAAAGCGCAGGCTAGCCCCTCAGTCCTGGTCCATCTGCTGCGCCTGCTCCTCGTCGTCGCTGCCTGCCCCCTCCTTCACATCCAGCTCCAGCTCGAACTCCTGCAGCAGAGGGCAGGTGCGGGCCTGATCAGAACAGGGGGCAGACAGCCTGCCAAGCTGCGCTCCCAGCGTCGGCATCCCTCTGAGCCCGTTGTGGACTCTCACCTGATCACAGCCCATGTACGAGTCACACATGAAGAAGAGGGTGAGGGTCTGGGAGCCCACCGCCTTGGGCGCCACAAAGTCCAGCTTCACGCGTGCCTTGCGCTGCAGGGAGGAAGGGCAGGCAAGTTGGCGGCCGGGCAAGTAGCTCGAAGAGGGCACGCAGCGCCAGGCCCCACAGCAGGTAGCAGCAACACCAGCACGTGCCCCGCCCCTTGACTCACGCCCACCTGCAGCGTGACCCGCTTGATGGCCAGCAGCGTGTTGGCGCTGGTGTCGCCCACCACCAGCCACCAGTTCTCATCCTTGCGCCCCGGGTACCTACGGGCATGCAGCGCCAGCCACGCGATTGGCGGCGGCGGCCAGGCACCCCCTTGAACCCCAAGCAGCCTGTATGGCACCTGAAGGCAGGAACCACCGGAACACACACACGCGCATCGGATCTCACCTGGGCGCATCCACCGGCCGCAGCTCCCCCTCAGCCTCCCGCTCCAGCGCCACCGTCAGGCTCACCGGCTCGCCTGCACGGATGTCGTCGGCGTCCGCCACCTGCGGCAGCACCCCAGAGCGGGCGTTGGTGGGGCAGGTGGGCTGAGCGGAAGGTGGCTGCAAGCGAGTGGCACACGCCACGAGCATGCAGCTCGCCGGGCTGGCCCCGCCCCGCGGTCACCTGGTGGTTGACGTTGATGTCGGGGTAGCGGTTGCACCACCGCGCCACATCCTCCAGCTGGGGCTCGGTCATCTGCGGGGGGGGAGGGCGGCGGCAGAGCGGCGTCGGGGTGGTGCACAGCAGCAAGGACGGCGGCAGCTCCATAGCAGTGGCAACAGCG